GCCGGCGGAGGCAGAGGCAGCCGCCGCCGGAGGCGAGGCTGCCGTGTAGGCGGTCCTGGCTTGCGAAATTTTAGGAATTCTAAGGTGGCGATGCGATGCCCAGCTGCCGCGTCTTGGCGGCAGCCTTGCAAGCAGCTTTGCTTCAAATCAGGGTGTCGCGGAGAGCCTGAGCCTGGTTCAGGATTGACAGGTACTTCATATGTTAGGACTGTTAGGCGAGATGCAAAGCTGTTGCACGAAGCAGTGCCATGGAGGACCCGTTGGAGATGTGGGCCTCTTTCGTATTTTCATGATTTCGTTTCAAGATCTGCCGCGTGCAGAGTCCACATCTGCGTAATCGCAGTACTGGTAGTATCGCAGTAGTGGTGTCGAGGCAGGGTTTGCCTTCACTGCCGTCCTTGATTTTTGCCATGAGATGCGGCCAAGCGAACATGTCTCCAGCCAATGGCAGTGCAGCGACTGATTGTGAAAGAGTCCCCTTGAGTGAGCACGCTCGACGGGAGCCCTCGAAATTCACGAGCAGTTGTTGATGAGGCGGGCCCAGCCACAGGCACTGCAACTTTTGACACCTGCACGCAGTAAAGCTGCCAGCAGAAACGCACATCTTCTGCGCAAGCTCGTAGCAATTGTAATCTTTCAGTTTGCCGACTGACCAAGGTAAGGGGTCCCAAGGGCGGCCACTTCTGAAGTTCAGTTTGCAANNGTGGATGTTCGAGCCATTGTCACATCCCACAGAGAGGTCCAAGACGCTTGCGGTGTGATCGCCACTGCATCTGTTGCGGGTTGTTGCTGCGCGTCGAACACTGACTTCCGGCAGGCGTTTCTTTTCACAAGCCTTTTTCCCTCGCGCCTGACATCCAGAAGAGATCCGATCGCCATGGCGGACGCAGGTGTGAAGCCAATGGACCAGGGGCAGGTAATCCTCTTCACAATCGCGAAGATCATCGGTGTGCTTGCCTCGATCTACTTCTTCTTGATGGGATTGGACATGATGGGCAGCTCCTTCCTTGTGCTGGGAGGCAAGGGTGCTGGTGACCTGTTTACCATCGTTGACAATCCGATCACAGGTTTGATGGTGGGCATCTTGGCGACAGTCCTGGTTCAGTCTTCCTCCACGAGCACCTCGATCGTGGTGGGCTTGGTTGGTGCCGGCCAGGTTTCCGTGAAGTATGCCATTCCTATCATCATGGGTGCCAACATCGGCACGTCCGTGACGAATACCATTGTGTCCATGGCACATGCCGGGGAGCGTCTTGAGCTTGAGCGTGCCTTCTCCGGTGCTACAGTTCCTGGGTCATCTAA